CATCAAAGGGGGCTTCACTGGATGCCCTCGTTGGCGTTGAGGTGGGGACATTGGGGACATCAGGAGGTCTTGGGGTCATGGTGGGGGCTTGGGGACATCATGGGGGACATGAGGGGCTTTTGGGGACACGGTGGGGACATTGGGGACGTTGGGTGCTCCTTGGGCAAGGTCAACCACATCAAAGGGGGCTTCACCAGTGCCCTCGTTGGTGTTGAGGTGGGGAGACCTTGGGGACATCATGGGGGCTTGGGGACATCATGGGGACATCATGAGGACATTGGGGGTCTTGTGGACATCATGGAGGTCTTGGGGACATCATGGGGGCTTGGGGACCTTGGGGACGTTGGGAGCTCCTTGGGCCAGTTCACCACATCACAGGGGCCTTCACCAGCACCCTTGTTGGCGTTGAGGTGGGGAGACCTTGGGGACATCCTGGGGACATCGGGGACCTTGGGGATGCCGTGGGGCCCTGGGTGGCCTTGGGGACGTCGGGGTGGTTGGAGGGACGTGGGCAGCGGCCCGGTGACCCCCGGTGACCTTGTCCCCGTCCCCCAGGTGGACAAGGGCGTCGTGCCCCTGGCTGGCACCAACGGCGAGACCACCACCCAGGGTGAGTGACAGCCACCACCCTGCCCCGAGGCCACCTCGCTGTCCCCGTCCCAGATGCCACCATCGTGTCCCCAGCCCTGATGCCATCTCCAACCCCATCACTCACCCCATCCCTGATGCCACCACGGTGTCCTCATCCCTGATGCCATCTCCGTCCCCATCGCTGTCCCCATCCCTGATGCCACCACGGTGTCCCCAACCCTTCCCTTGTCCCCACACCCCACTGATGTCCCCATCCCTGATGCCACCACGGTGTCCCTATCTGTCCTGTCACCCCCACACCTCACTGGTGTCCCCATCCCTGATGCCACCACCATGTCTCCATCCCTCCTGATGTCCCCACACTCCACCAATGTCCCCACCCTGATGCCATCTCCAAACCCTATTGGTGTCCCCCCCCCTGATGCCACCACGGTGTCCCCAGCCCTTCCCTTGTCCCCACACCCCACCGATGTCCCCATCCCTGATGCCATCTCCAACGCCATCACTGTCCCCGTCCCTGATGCCACTGTGGTGTCCCCATCCCTCCTGATCTCCCCGCACTCCACCAATGTCCCCATCCCTGATGCCACCACAGCATCCCCACCCTGATGCCATCTCCAAACCCTATTGGTGTCCCCACCCGTGATGCCACCATGGTGTCCCCATCCCTCCCGTCACCCACCATGGTGTCCCCATCCCTCCCGTCACCCCCACACCTCACTGATGTCCCCACCCCTGATGCCACCATGGTGTCCCCATCCCTCCTGATGTCCCTACGCCCCACCGATGTCCCCATCCCTGA